AATATATTGATTCAAGTGGCAGTTAAGGGGTCACTCACCAATCTATGCCAGGAAATTTGGAGGACAGGTGTTTGGCAAATGAATTGGAGGATGTCCATATTTGTTCCTAATCCAAAGAAAGTTGACCCAATAGAATGTGAAAACTTGAACAAATAACATTAATATCACCTGCAAGCAAAATACTGCTGAAGATCATTCAAAAACAGTTCGAACTGTATATAGGTAGGTAGGGAACTGACAGAAATTCAAGGAGGATTTAGAAGAGCCTGTGGCACTAGGGATATCACTGCTTATATCAGATGGATCCTGGCTGAAAGTAGAGAATACTAGGGAAAAAAGTGTCTGTTTGTGCTTTATTGACTATGCAGAGTCATTTAACTATGTGGATCATAATGAGTTATGGCTGATATTTGGAAGAATGGGAATCCCAGAGCTCTTAATTATGGTCATGTGGAACCTATAGTTGGACCAGGAGGCTCTTGTGCAAACAGGGTAGGGGAGCACTGCATGGTTTAAAATTGAGACGGGAGTGTGTCAGGGTTTTATTCCCTTTCCGTACCTGTTCAGTCTGAATGCTGAGCAAAGTATTTAAAAAGCTAGACAGTATGAAGAGTAGTATTGCATCAGAATTGGAGGAAGACCGTCAATAACCTGCATTATGCAGATGACACAACCTTGATTGCTGAAAGTGAGGAGCACTTGAAGCACTTGTTATAGAAGATCAGGGAATGCAGCCTTCAGTATGAATTGCATCTCAGTGTCAAGAAAATAAAGATTCTTACTACTGGACCATTGGACAATAATGATGATAGATGGAGAGAATATTGAAACTGTCAACAGCTTCATCTTGCTTGAATCCACAATTAACAGCCTTGCTACCAGCAGTCAGGAAATATGAAGATGCATTGCACTGGGAAAATCTGCAGTTAGGAACCTTTCTAAATGATTGAGGAAAAATTATGTTAGTTTGAGGACTAAGATATGTCTGATTCCATCATAGCCTGTCCAATTACTTGAGAGATGGACAATGAATAGGGATGACAGAAAAAAATAATTGATAGCTTTGAGCACTGGTATTGGAGAAGAGAACTGAACATATGGATGGCCAAGAGAACAGACAAATATGTCTTGGAGAGGGTGCAGCCAGAGTGCTCTTAGGAGGCAAGAATAATGAGGGTTTGCCTCACATATTTTCGGCATGTTGCCAGAAGGATCTATTCCTTTGATAGAGACATGATACTGGGAACAGTGGAGGGTCAGCAAAGGAGAGGAAGACCCTCAACCGTGTAGACTAACATGGTGGCTGTTGCAGTGGGATCTTGTGTCAGGATGGCACAGGATAGAACAGGGTTCAGATCTTTTGTTCACAGGGTTGCTATAAGTTGTACTTGACTTGATGAGACCTAACAACAGTAAAAACACATTTGAATGTTGTTGACTGAGGGTAAAGAATAAAAAAAAAGACAGAACACCAAGAATGTATAAGTAAACAGAGAGGTAAAGCAGGGGGCAAGCAGTTCAATTGAAACACTGAACCCAGCTTCCTTGTTCCTTTATTGAAAATTGCCAGGGAGCAAATCATAAAGAGAATTCTATGCAAATGAAGCTAAGCTCTTTCTATTGGAAAAATTATGCTTGACTCAGGAAGGAACAGTTAGCAAATACAATACAGAAATTGTGTAAAAGCTTAAGGTCTGCCTGAGCTTACCCCTGTGAACACCTAAAGTCTGCCTTGGTGCTTCAGAGTGAATTCCAGCTTGTATCCTTGCCTCCCTCATATCCTGATATAGGTTATGGTTTATTATAAATATTTAGTATGAAATTTGGCTTCCCACATTTGAGAAACAGTGTTAGTACAGTGGATCATATGGGTTCAGATTAATATTTGGAAGGAAATGTTTCCAAGTATTGTCCAAGGTTCCTTTGGTATCCAGTTGATCTCATGTTTTCTTGAAAGTATTTTGATCAAATTATTATACAAAAGGATAATAAACAATAAACAT